AAACTGGATACACTTCTCGATGGCGTGAATTTCCGCCTGGAAGATGCTTGGGTATTTTCCCAAGCTTTCGGAGTGCTTGGTTCTCGGCCCATACACTCCTATTCCAGTTCCTTCTATGGTTTTGGAACCGTCCGTGTACCACTGAATAGCACGTCTTTCGGTTGCAAGCGCGATGGATTCTTGGCTCCATTCTTTCTTGCAGCCCAGCTCTGTGGTTTTGAAGTTTTTCACAAAACTGTACAGGTTGAACGATACAACCGTACGAATTTGTCCTCTCTTTCTGCGTTAACGGATGACGAAGAAAGATGGGATGAAAATGTCCGCTGGGGTTTGAATTATACGATGAATTCATCTACGGGAAAGTCTTTATATGAGCTCTTTTTTGGATACGTTCCAAGAGGAGTTGCAACCGCATTTCTTAATAAATGAAATCACTTTAGAGCTAGAAGATGATCTAAGAGAAACTCGAAGACGAGTAAGGGAAAGGTTAGATAAGAATCAAGTGGCTCAAAAATCAAGGTTTGATGCGCATCGTAAAGCTGGATGCAGCTTAAAGATATGGAACTGAATCAAGTAAAAACGACGGGAAAAGCAAAAAGTTGCTTCCCTAATACAGTGGTCCGTACGTTATTAGATCATGATCGGTTCGTAATTGGAGACCCTGAAGGATCCTTGCGATCTCAGAAAAAAGTATGTTGGGGTTGTTTTATTAGATACGATTAAGGCCTATGAAGTTGCTGTTAGTTCAAAATCCCATGAGGAAAACTAAACTAATAAGCACCAAAGGGAGCTCTCACACAAAAAAAAAGTTAAGAAGGTAGGTAAGTAACTGTTTCACTACGAATTCGAACGTTTACAGAGTTGTCTGAAAATGAGTCACTAAAATAGTCGGCAAAAGCAGATGCAATAGCGGCACTAGTTTCTAAATCAATGCCATTATAACACATATTGGCTGGTAGTGAGTTACAATTATTTTTGGAATTATAGAATGACCAAAAATTCTTTGGATTTATTTTTAGTTCAGCTTCGACGTAAGCCAGATAGTTTTGATGGGCAGTTATATTATCAGCTTTAAAAACAGACCGCAAATGTTTGCATTTATTAAGATCATCATCACCTTTCGTTTTTTGTATTTTTTCCAAGCTTTATTTTTTAAATTCAGCTTGTGAATTAAAGGACCAGTAAACCAGATGGGGTATGTTTTATAACAAGTTTCTTCTTTGGTACATGTTAATCAACAACAATATATAATTGGTCATAAAATAGGCTCAGAGCTTCATCAACGTGTGAAATGTTACCTAAAAATGTCCAGTTGACCAATAATAAGTCTCTATAAAGGGCAACAAAGTTTGATTTTTTAAAGTTGTAAGCGAATGCGTTAAATACTGGAGTTTAAATAGTAGAGTTTTTATATTCTACTTCGAATGCTAACGCGGGATGATATGTGTCTTCTGGATATACCAAAATATCATCCGTATTTTGGACCGAACATGAAGAAGAAAATTAAATCTAAAAATAACAGTTAGTAATGTAACTATCGTGTAAGCTCGAAAAATTACAAAGATTATTTAACGATTGCATTCTGGTAGAAGTGTCACTTAAGTTGTATTCTGCAATGTTGAAATCCCCTACCATCAATACCGGAGCATCGTGTAAGCATTGTATTGACTCAATGAAGTCAAATAAAACTTCATATTCTGGAACCGATGTACGAGGCGGAATATAAATAACAATTATGTAAGATATTTGGTGAAAAATATTTGCTCTGCAAACTAAAATGTCAATATATTTAATTTCAGAGAATGTGATACACTCGGAATATATATCGATCATTGATAAAGTTATGCATTTGTTGATAGCTAGTAAGACCCCTCCACCTTTGCTAGTGTTCAAGAAATTATGGTCTCGATCTTTGCGGCATCCATTATACAGGGTGTTTCCGAACTTGGCGTCCACATTTGTAGGGGTGGTAGTTCGCATAATTTGAGAGCGATTGGCAGATTTCATTTTTCTAAAAAATTATAATAAACAAAATAGAGCCATTATAAAAAAAACAAAAAGCAGGTCCTAGCCTGAGCGCGTAGCGCAATAGTTACCTGATCGGTTACTCATCAGGATTTACAACTCAAAAACAAATGCGATTTGCAAATTTCTCCCTCCGCCCGGCCGGTATCGAAAGACGTAGTCCATTGTTTTTCTAGTGCGTATTGCTTTGTAGGGTTGTTTACCTCGCGTTCAGAGAATTTTATTTATACCTACCTGTAGTTAACACAATTAGCACAGGTAAACTTTTGCTCATTACTGTCCTGTATTTTATGATTTAGGGAACACTTCGGAATTGTGTAGCAGGTAGCAGAACAATTATTAGCCAAGTGGTGGAAGTTGCAACATTTGTAATAACTCCGTAAATCAATAGCCTTAAAGACGCTACAAGAATAAATTGCATTTTAACATTGAGGTATTTAATAATCTTCGAAAAGACTTTGTTTCACTTTCTGTGGATGAAATAGCCACTAAATTTGAGACCTATACTGGAGTATCCATTTTATATACCGTGATATATTTTTATGTTATAGAAACGTATTATGCAAAGTACGCCTATGGTATGTGACGTTATATCCGAGAATACCGATCAAGAAGAAGCGACAGCTTGGTGTTTTCAGTGTACCGTTTTGTAACGCGCATGTGCGAAAATAAGTTGTGTATCACTCAAAATTATATTATCTGTCAAAGTCAGTCCAAGTTGTGTTTAGTACGTGAGCAATGTTAAGTAATATTTTTTGGTGTTTGTTTTGTGTAGTTTTAAGATGAAGATTTTTTCACACTTAGGTATTCTAATACAGATATAAAATGTGCCAAAAAAGTTATTAGGAAACTAAGAATTTTATCACATCCATAAATATTAAGTATACTGATTTAATCATTTTTGACATTTTATTTTTCATATGTAGGTATTGTATTTTGTGAAATATATGTTTTTCTTCTTTAAAATAAATTTAATAAACAATGAACTGCAGATTTTGTTTATTTTATTTTGAAATTATATTTAAAAAATATAATAAATTCGCGTATTTCAATTAGGATTGGTCAAAGTGGGCAAAATCCCTTTATTATGGCTAAATTATGTCAATATAAAGATGTTTTGCCCATTCATCATTACATTTATTGAATGAATCATACATGAGTTGATTTTGAAAATATTGGTGCATACTTAAATAAGTACTATTTCTAAAAATTCGTCTATGCTCACATAGTCCACTGGACGTCCACTTTAGATCTATTTCAGGGTCAGGACGTCCATATCCGGGCATCCAGTGTATGTACGTTTATGCTAATTAAATTGACAGCTGAATATCGATACCCAGAGAACGTCTGTTTTTGGACTTAATTTTAGGTTCAGTAGTATTTTGACGTCCAGTGGACGTCCATCTTAGGTCATTATTTATTAAGCCTACCAGATAATACCCATCTATATATACTTCTTTTTTTTAATATAACTGGTCCTTAAAAATTGACAAATTGAATCTATTACATTTCATTCTATCAGCGGAAGTTTGAAATCTTATTCAATTATAACTGTATCTAGTAAAAAGTTTTCAAGTAAGCGATTTTTAATAAAAAAATAAATAAATGGTGTATAGCGATTTGCGAAAATAATAAACAAATTATTAATAATATAAAATAGTGTGTGGTGAGTTGCGGTTCTGTAAAAAAGTTGGAATGTGGTCTAAATGGAAATGTAATCCTTGATGTTTTTTGAATGTCCAGTATTCGACGTCCAAATATATTCCAGAATTGGACGTCCTCTGAATGGTCAAAAGTGTGCCATTTGTATACTTCACTGGACGTCCATTGGATGTCGGAAGTCCAGAAAACTCATTTTTGGACGTCTAGACATCCAAAATTGTATATCGAATGGACATCTAATGGACATATTTGTATTGTCTGGTTAATAGCCAGGCCAGGTATTTAACTCTAAATATATAAACCTTAAATGACATCTGGTTTAACTTGGCGAGAAAACACTTGTTTCTACAGAAATGAGTGAAAAACTTGAAAGTCCTTTTAATATAATATAAATCTAGAAATTCTAAAAATATGTAAGTACTCTTTAAACCTAAAAGCTTTGAAAATATATGCACATTGCAAATATTTAGTTAAACCTCTCAAACTTAATGTCTTTTTAATTGTTACCTAAATTTTTTTTGACACCCTTAATTTTATTTACCTTATTTTTAGTTAGGAAAAAGATAATTTAATTTAAATATGGGGCTTTTATTACATTTTTAACAATAGATAAACCAAATATTGAACAAATTTTATAGATAAATTATAAAATAATAAACGTCTTTTACTTTTATAATAAATAATGAATTATTACATAATGAATTATATTTTGATGCCGAAATTTCAGCATTGCTATTAACCCTAACTACTAATTAAATCACATTGCAACATTTGCGCATTGACTATAACAATAATTTCAGATAATTTGCCAAACTATTTCGCTCAGTGTAGAAAATAAGCATGTTTTTTCAGCGTGCTAAGTTGTGTATCAGTCAAAGTCATACTGTGAAAAAGGTACATCCGATATCAAAGGCACCGACAGCTACTGTCGCTTCTCCTTGATCGGTATTCTCGGCTTTTACTGCATTCTTTTATTCAAACTATAGGTCGATCAGAAGTATTAAAATTGTCATTTTAACTACAAATAACAATTAAAGGATAAAGTATAAATAAAATATGTACTTCTTGAATCTGTACTACGTTCTGCAAATTAAATTACCACACTCATTTTTTCTCTAGACTATAGTAGATATACAGATGGCGTAATAGTCATCGATGACGTCACAATTAATAATAATAAAAAAATGTATTCTAATGGAAAGTGACACCTCATTTGAAAGGTATTTTGAATACTAATACTAATTTTGTTATTGTCCACTGATTTACATCACCTTGCTATGTTTCAAAATGGTAACAATATTTCTTCATTACAGATGCCAATGCCGCAAATCGACATCGGATCTGACGGATATGACGGACGAGGTGGCCAACACGATGACCACCTCGCTGAGCAGACCTAGTTCACCTAGACGGAAAGGTTCGGTTAAAGGCGGTTTGGCGTATTTGGCGTCTAGACGAAGTTCGCGGGATTCGGTTGCTTCGAATATGTCGAACGTGTCCAACGAGGACATCGGCCCGTTGAATTTTCAGAATACGGTGCGCGGAAGGCAGAGGCGGACGTCCAACTTTTTGGAGTTACCAAGTAAGTTTAAAATATTTTTTTTATTTATAATTTCTTTAAATTAATGTAAAATATTAAAATTGGCCGCCATTGGATACCTTCGAAAATCTCTACGAATTTTTGAGTTATGACAGGTGTCAACATTCCATTACACATTCCTGACCAGAGATAAGGGATATAAAGATAGCAAACGCTCATAAGAAGCCAATGCTTAACAACGACCAGCTTTAACGCAGTTAACATCTGAGTCACTATGTGGCGCTGTCATCGATATCAAACAAATATCGCAGCGGGAAATTTAAAAATCTAATAAATAATAAAGGTTGTATAAATATCGACGGCACTCTCAACTCTCACGTTCTGACGCTAAATTATTTATTAAAAGAAATACTACACTTACTATTATCGACTAATTATTGTAAATCTATTCATAACAAATATTTTTTAATTTTTGATCGTTATTTGTAACATTAACATTTGTGTTCTTATTTTCCAAACGAATGGCCAATTATGTTTTATTTAAAAGTGTTGAGTGAAAACTCAATAATGGGAATTAATATATTTTTCTTCCTATATCAAATCTTCTTTATAACGTTTTGAAGCCATTTCCTTGTTCTAAAACAATAAATAAATACCTACTTTGTGACAAAAGTTGGCTACTATTTGTGTTACTTACATTACTATAGATCTTACTTTGGTTAATTAAAGAACACCATATTGGGGTAGTAACATTTATTCATGTGGCATGTGTTACTAATGCAATACGTTCTCAGACTTATTGTAATATTACAAAATATATTTATTGTCCTCAAATTTCATACAAAAACAGCCACAACCATTTCGCTTAGTGCATCTAGAAGATAACACAATCGTGAACTCAAAATTTAAAATTAAAATTTAGGATTCTATATACTGGGTCTTCAACAATACCGAAAACACACGTGACCAAAACGTCATGACAGCGATTGGTGAAAATAAAAGTAAAAATCCCTAGATTTGAGCCAGTGCCGTAGGTATTTTATTACAAAATAGATCTTCTTTTTTTTTATGGTCTGCAACTACGAGAACAAAATTCAGTTAGGTAACTAATAACACAATATAAAATTATTTTACATTATTGTATTTTCACGTTAGAATTCGATATTTTAATTAGATTTAGTCAAATGCAATAATCTAATTTTTTAAATTATGATATAATTAACATAACCTTATAAACTGAAATATGGTTATTGCCAGTATTACAAAAAAAAACCTTCTGCAGAAAGTTATGAATTAAAAATGTTATTCATTAAAATATGAATAAAATTAAAAATTTACTTTAGATTGACTTTAAGATATTTAGCCACAGCTGAAACTTTAAATACGACAGGCAGAAGATAATGGCAGTATTTGACAATTATTGCAGTTTAAGTAAACGAATTTAAAACTTACTGGGATTGTACCTGGGCAATGGAAAGTAATAAACAAATATTTTTTTAAGTTTGTTCTATTATTTGTTACATTTACAAAATACATTGTTACTTATATGTATACAAAAAAATATTATTATTATTTATGTAACAAGCACATATTTGTTTTACCTTATAGCTCTCACTTCTCATTTTAAATTATAAAGGCATACCTATTAACAACTATTTTATTTAAAAGGATATCGAATAGTTATTGGTGGTGCACAAACAATACTAATTCACAGTACGTACCTATTTGTTCAAAATCTTTACCACCAGCTTTAATGCAAGCATTAATCGTTCTTTTTTGAACACATTATGTAGTGTCTCCTCAGTTATATTTTGTATTTTATTTAATATAGGTGCTTCAGTTCATAAAGGTCACACGAACGATTTTGAATTGAGTGATCTGTAATATTCCAAGGTAAAATGATTGTTGCAGTACCAAAACTTTATTGGGGGTGAATTATCAGAAATATTTTCAATACTCTATGGCTAGTTCGTGGCGACAAACCTAAAAAAAATATGTTTTGAATTTCATTCGTAAGAGTCATTCTATGAAACACTGTTCATACCTGTTTGAGGTGCTGTTTTTTTTTACTAATTTATTGGGAATTTGGACCATGTTAATTCGCAAATCTTCAACAGCTTTTGTTATTATATTGTGGGCCTTTTAGAGCTTTTTCCTTTTTTATAATTTTGAACATGTATTTGTTTATGAAGACAAAAACGAATCACATTCCATTTATTCACCTGGAAAACGTTCCTCAAATTTTCAAATACAATTACGAATGTAAAATAATTTTGTTGTTCCTGTGTAACACCTGAATAAATTATATAGTCATTAACTTTTACGGTTTACAGTAAACAAATTTGTACTTACCAACAAAAAAGAATTAAGCCAAAAACAATTTCTAAAAATAACTAATTGCTTTATTAATATTAATTTAAAACTGGAATATAGTTGTTTATAAAATGTAAACAAATATAATATAAATATTGTCAGTCCCCAAATGAATGCCAGTGACATTTCTGACAGGACTGACAGTTCAGTTTGGTTCCTTTTACGTCAAATCAGGCCCTTTCGATGGGTTTTTGATGGTTATCAGATCACGTGGGTTTCGGGTATTGTTGAAGACCTGGTACTATACATACAACTAACTGACATTTATATTTACAAACTGTCCAAGTCTTCTGTCTGTCTCATTGTCTGTCTACAGATGACATGCACCTTTAGTTAACATCTGAGACACATAGATGACGCCATCCTTACTGCGGTCGCTGCGTTTCCTATCTTTATGTCCCTAATCTCTGTTCCTGACATTTTTATCGACTTCAACTATAGTACCAAGTGTCTTTGATTTAAAAAAACTTAAGTTTCGCATTGAACTTATTAAACTCCTTTCTTGTATATAATCAGCGAAACTCTCAGAACCACCAGAGTGCATTTAATGGCTACTTTCAACGGTTGATATTAGTAGGTCATCTCTCTCCCACAAAAGCCGCTATTGACCCATTCCAGATTTTCCAGATATAATAGTGTAGAGCAAATTGAACTAATTACGTTATGTATGGAGCTCAATTTGTAGATCTTGCGGTAACTTTGTCGACAGGACGACTAATAGCGAACTTGAGAAGTTCCAGGAAGTTGTGTTCGCGTCGGTTAATAATTCTACCTTGGGTGTTTGGTGTCTGAAAGCGTTGGAAAATGTTATAATATTTAAACTTCCAACGGAGATAATATTTTGATTAAATTTTAAAGTCGGAACTAAAATATAACTGCATGTAATTTGATATTGTTACCCCTGAAAAAGAAAAAAAACTTTATTTAAAATGTTGGTGCTCTAACGAATAAATTGGAAAATTAAAAAAAAACTTCTATTTAATATTGTTAAAATAAAAGAAAACGAATTTATAAAAAAAAAATCACAATTCTCTTGACTAATCGTCTAATTATTCCTGTATAATTTTTTGTTGGCATTCTCAAACAAACAAACATTCAAACTTTAGTTGGAAACTAAGATAAATTACCTAATTCCAAAGTATAATGTTTGACGTTGTTGCAAAACCGAAACAGCTAGGCTTTCCGTCTTCCACCAGACCGTAGGAAATCCTATTAAAATGGTAATGCCCTTAGCCAGGTAAAAAGGGAAAATTATCACGATCGGTACGAAATTAAGTGATAAATAAGATATACGAGGGCTATTTGATGGAAAATGAGCATACTGAAAGACTGATTTTACTATTATATTATATTTTTAAGAGACTTCAAAAAAGGAGGAGGTTCTCAATTCGTCGCAATATTTTTTTTTTATGTATGTTCAGCGATAATTATTTAACGCGGTGTCCGATTTCAATGATTGTTTCTTTGTTAGAAAGGGGAGACTTCAGGGGTGGTCCCATATACATTTGGTCAAAATCTAATAATTGGGTCCATGAGAAAATCCTTAAACTCTTCATTTTTTATGTATGTTTAGCGATAATGCTTTACGACCTTGTCCGATTTATATGATTCTTTTTTTGTTAGTAAGGGGGTACCTCAGGGGTTGTCCCATATAAAAGTAACCTCAAACAATACTTGATAAATAAACAGAACGGATATACTTTCTTTAAACCTGCCCTTTTTAAGTATTTCCCTTAATTTATTGTTATTTTACCCCTCGTTTTATCCGCATTTATTATAGATTATTTGTTTTGAGATCATTTACTTTATTTTAAAAAATTATTTGATGTTATATTAATACTACTTACTATATTTAAATTAATAATAGTTTTACGATGATAGGTTATAGCAACTTATAGCCACAAAACTATTTTTTTTTGTTAAAGTAGATCCATAGAGAGCAATGTAATTTACAAAGGCCTTCTTTCAACATACAAATAAATTACAACTTTATAATTAAAATAAAGAACACAACAAAATACCTCGGTATCATAATTGATCCAAATTTGAAATGGGCATTATATCTTACCTCTCTTTTATATAATAAAAAAGTGTTTTGTATAAGAACATTATATTATTTGTCAGTAGATGTAATTGGCCGGTTCTGGAAATGAGAAAGAGGTACAGAGAGAGGCAATTGGGTAATTAGTAATTATCCTAAGTACTCCCCACCCTTAGCACAATTAGCTAGTACCTCCCAATTACATCATGTACTGTAATAAATGCAATTGCACAGTAAGTACCTCCCAATTACCATGTACGCGCCATACTGTAATGATTGTAATTGCATAATAAGTACCTTCCAATTACCCACAGGGTATACATCTCATTACTCCATACATATTAAAGTGTAAGTACACCTTAGGTAGTAATTACTGCATGCAATGTAGTGTAGTGAATGTTATCTAAGTGCCTCCTAGTGATTACTGTTGGCAGCACGTCCTTAGCTCTCGGCCGGCGTGCCTAGAGTGCTTAGCCTGCGTTAGAGACGGTCGTGCTTAACCGAAATATCTAGGTAAGCGACTAAGAAGGGGTAGCCTGCGCCAGAGATAAACGCGCAATTAGCAAGTACCTCCCAATTACATCATGTACTGTACTAAATTACAGTAAGTACCTTCCAATTACCATGT